AACATGAAGTGATCAGTTCAGTTTTTCTGGCACGTAATCATTCAAATACTTGAGTAGCTCTTCAGCTGTGGTGTTGGCTGGTAATAAAAGTGTACATAACCTCATGCACATCCTCCTGAAAAATATATCAAACAAGAACAAGCATTGTTGCCTCATCAGTATTGAGTAAACCTGGGTTGCATATCATCGTGACTCAGTTCTCTCTGGCATTTGTGCCTCAGTACTTGCTACTATTTCATAAGTTTGTTTAGTTATGGTGCTAGCTGAAAAGAGAAACAAGTGCCACCTTTTGAACCTCAGCCTCTCCTGAAAGCTCATAACGCATATCCCTAGCAGCAGACAGGATCAGTTCTTCACCAGTGTAAAGGGCTTCTTAGCTTTAGCAATACAGTTAGCCACAAAGAATGATGCTGAGTACAGACACATTTGATCAAGCAGAGACCATAAATAATTGCTTCTATTATTTTTTTTTCTTTTGAGAAACTCCAAATGCAGGTGCTTGATCTCCCTGTGGTGGAGTAGTTTTAAAAGTTTTGTAGCTTTCTCGAATAGCTAGTCACCACATATTACACAGAGCAAGCTTGAAGAACATGAATCACACATTACAATGAATCTTTCCTTTTAATAGAATTTATGGTGCTTTCTTTTATATGCAGCTTTCTTTTTGTTGGCAGTCTTAAAGTCTGCTATCTCATCATAGGGCCTTTCCCTCTTTTCAAAGCAGCTCTCCATTGACATTTACATTTTAATCATTTTGGCTGGTTAGTAGATGAGCTAACCCAAACTGTGACTGAGGCAAGCATGCAGTGTGGGAAACAGGTGTGACAGAACCAATAAATAAAATAATGAGTGCGCCAAGTGTGGATTGGAATGTGTTGAATTCTCATGTAAAGTCTGCCACTAGATGCAGCTATATAATTGAAGTGTATCAACTCACTTGCCACTACAAAGCTTGCCATCAAATATAGCCTAATTCTCACTCATAGGATTTTGATATGAGTCTTCAACAATTGATTTATTATGGTCTCTTGTAACCAAAACTTTCTGCTAATATTAGTCTGTATTTGTAGCCTCCCACAGTGCCACATCTCCACCTCAGTTCATCAGGTACTATAGTCTTATAAGGAGCAAGCAGTTTAGATCCTTGTCATGCACAGTTCTTAGTAGGGTTTGCACTCCTATGAGAATTGAATGCTACTGCTGATTTGACAGGAGGTGGTGCTCAGACTATAATGTGAGTAATGGGGAGTGGTTATCAATAAAGATGAAGCTTTGATCACTCATTATGGCCTGGTTCTTATACCAGTACATGGTCTGGGGGGATTGGAGACCCCTGCACTATAGGATATATTTTGTTCTTAAATTATACCAATTTGGGGCTGGGGAGATAGCTCAGTGGTCTAAGTGCCTGCCTGGCAAGCTCAAGGACCCAGGTTCAATCCCCAGTACCTCATGCTTTGCTGCCCTGGAACCCTAGGTGCACTGTGCTGGACACTGAAACTGGGCATGGTGGTGCATGTCAGTGCTGGGGAGGCTCAGACAGGATCATTATGAGTCTGAGCTGTGTAGTGAGACCCTGTAACAAATAAATAAGTAAAACATTTAAAAAATTTATAAATTTTCAGAATTTGTTAGACAATGAATATTTGTATCTATACTTATATAAATGCCAAGCCATTTTTCTTCAAATATGATAGTTTACATAGCCACAAAGGTTTTTGTGTGTGTGTTCATTTTAAAAAAGTTGTTTGAAAAGCCCAACCAATAGGCTGCATGTCAGCAGCTCAGAAGACCAGCAGGATGGAATTTTACCATTATTGTTTCTCATTACTTGTATATAATCAATGACTTTGTCAAAGGTTGTTGGGGACCGGGGAGATGGCTCAGTGGAATAAGTGCTTCCCTGGCAAGCACAAGGGCCTGAGTTCAATCCCTGGTTCTACCAAAAAAAAAAAAAAAAAAAAAAAATTTCAAAGATTGTTAATCATTAATTAATAAATTCAATCACTTGTTAATTACTTTCATATAATGATGTACCCTAGTTTGTATCCTGTGCCCATGGACTTTTCTAGGCTCAAGAGAAATATCAGCTTCTGTATAAAGAAGTGTCAAGCTATGATTTGTATCCCTGATTTCTCTTTACCCAACTGAATGTAAAGTCATGGCTACCTTCAGTTTGGTGGGTGAGAGATAAGCACCATGGAAAGGTTTTGAGAAGGAGTTGTGCTTGAGCTGAGTCATGCAGGGAGAATGTGATTGGGCAGGTAGGTATGAGAGATGGGAGCTAAGAGCACCCTAGGATGGCAAAACGCTCAGTACAGAAGTCATGGAGGCGTGATGATAGGCCATCTTCAGGGAGCGGTGTCTTGATCAAGCCATTTGGCTAGCAGACAGGAGTGCAAAGGGAGTATCAACTCTACAACTGGAAACATAGCTGCAACCAATTGTACAAGGCTGTGGGAGGCCTCAGTCTTAAGATTAGCTGAGACTTTGATGAGGAAATTACCTGTGGAGAGGTAGAAACTAAAAATTCAATAGGGTTGTTTGCTGGAATGAGATTTGAGAAGGGAAAGAAATAAAAAGATATAGTAGGAAGGTAGATAAAGTCAGAAGGAAAGTGAGGAGGAGTTTAAAAAGTATGGGGGCACAATTTACTTGGAAAGTCAAGCCAGTAGTATTTTGTAGTTGATAAAAGAATACCTCCTGATATTTAGAAATGCAAATATTGTTTTAAGTATATCTCTGTTAGAGTTTTTTTTCTGTCAGAGTTCTTATTTTCCTTAGTTCTTATTTTTCCTTAGCCCCCTCCTTTTTTTTTTTAAACATTTTTATTAAAAGAGTAAACGAATAGCATATGCTTAAAGAAATTAGGCACATATTGGGCATGAAATAATTTCAAATAATTTCTCTTTTAGCTGTATTGCTATTATATAATAAGAATATGTTTTGATTCACAATTTTTATGAAGAATTTGTACATTTTATTACAACGTCTGTTTCTACATTTTAATTTCTCTCCTTTTATAGGTATTTGCATACTTTTTTTTTCCAAATGAGGAGACCTTTTGTTTGCCACAAGAAGGCTATTATCCAGAATGTTAATGGGTTTTCAGCTATTAAGATGTAATGATATACCTTGAGTATTTAACTATAAATTTGAAAAATCTCCATGAACAATCTCAAAGGAATACTTAGAATGCACTCCTGGTAAATTGGCTCATTTTCCTGTAATTTACTGGAAGTGCTGATATGAGAGCAGTCCTAATGTGAAAGTACATTAATCCCTGGAGTTACATTGTATGTATTAAATTATTACTCTCAAAGAATAAAATGTATGAGGCCATTTAGCCTTCATTCACACTTGTTACTTAGAATCACAGTAGAGAAACAATCACTTATCTTTTGATGTACAAAATTAGAAATGATACATTTAATATCTCTTAAAACAAAAGGCACAGTGATTCTCAGTTACAATTTTGCATAACAATTGGTCTTTTCCAAAACAAGAACTGTTCTAGTCAGGAGCATGATTCTTCTGCCTTTGTGGAAGCCCATTTCATTCCATTGGTAATTGAAATATTTTTAGAAACTCCATAATGCAGCTTTCTTTCATGTCAGTCAAGAAGATTAGTCTGCATTTTAGCCATGAGGATCTACCACCATGAGGTTTTATAAGGGTGGTAGTTGATCTGCAGGAGCAAAAATCTGCAGGAGCATTTAGGGCCTTTGGAATTCACCTAATTGTACTTTTCTTCTTTGCCAAGGGACTGAAAATTGTGAAACACAATTTGTGACATCAGTTTTTTTTTTTTTTTTCTTTTCCCTTGTTAGTAACCACTTATGATTGTGGAAGATTAAGCAGAGACAAAGCCCCATCTGAGATTTTAGCAACACTCTTGAACAGCAAAATACACCATGGATGTAAAGCTGGACCCTTCCCGAGATGATCTGCCTCTCATGGCCAATACTAGCCACATACTTGTGAAGCACTATGTACTGGATTTAGATGTGGATTTAGAAAGTCACATCATTGAGGGCTCCATAGTGCTTTTCTTTGAGGATGGAACCAGATTCAAGAAACAAACTAACTCTACCAAGGAAACCTGCCAGTTGGCATCAAATGAAGCCTGCCGATTTGGGACACCTGAACTCCGCCATCTTCCTATGACAAGTGCAAGGACCACATTTAATGTGGGATATAATGATTTTATAATTTGTGATAAAGGTGAAGAAGATACTTCTGATAAAGATGGTAACCATGACAACCAGGAACAGGCTTCTGGGATCTCTAGCTCAAAGTACGGCTGTGACACAGAGAATCATGGGAGAGAGGATTTTTTGCTAGTGTTGGACTGCTGTGATTTATCTGTGTTAAAGGTCGAGGAGGTGGATGTTGCTGCTGTGCCAGGAATTGAAAAATTTACAAGGCCTTCCAAGCTGACAGTTGTTTCTGAAGAGCTCAGGAATGAGATTGTTCATGAACTTGTGACTCTGCCTGCAGATCAGTGGAGGGAGCAGTTAGACTATTTTGTTCACTGCAGTAAGGCTCCTAGCTGCGGGGAACTTTTCTTTGACACTGACACTTGGAGCTTGCAGATCAGGAAGACAGGGGCTCAGACAGCTACTGACTTTCCTCATGCCATCAGGATATGTTACAAAACCAAACCTGAGGGGCAGTCCATTACCTGGACCTCAGACCAGAGTGGCAGGTAGGTTATGCCAGCACTCTACAGCCTTGCTAATCTCAGACATATCACATATACCCTCAGAAAAGGGACCATATCTACAGAAATGTTCCTGTTTATTCTTTGGTATTACCCAGGTGCCCTTATATCCTGTGACTCATAAAGAAGCAGGTGAATTCCCAGATATGCTGAACTTTTAATAGGATTGTCTTCTGTAAGTCAAGATGAAAAGATTATTAAGTGCCCCTACCTCTGAGTGAGGAGATTGAAAGGTGAGCTTAATGATGGAATCCTGAGCCTGACTTGGTGGAGATCATAGCTAGTGGCTTTCCTTGCTCTTTGTGGGAGTGATAAATTTGTGAGCAAGGACTTCTCACAACTCCAGTCCAACGTAGAGAACAGACTGCTGTGAAGTTGGATGGGTGTGAAGCCAGGCAAACTGCTTTCAAATAAACCCAGCTCTGCTTTGTGATTTTCATACTGTGTGTATCTTGGCAGCTTTACCTTTGGACTTTCTCAGTTGTCGTATGATGGGAACCCCCAGCACAAATGGAAAGATTTACTTCTGAGGCATGAAACAGTCCTACTGAATCTGCCTGCTTACCTCTTTGGCAGTGATTCTTGGTATTTTGTACCAGGAAGGCTCCTGCTTTTGGTGCAGACAGGAGAAACTGATGAGACATGGTGTTTCAGGGGATGCATTTAGGCAGTCATTTGGCCTTTTTTTATTGCCCTTCCTCTAACAGTTGTCCAGATTTTTTTTTTTTGGGGGGGGAGGTTTGAGAAATTTGAAACTTTATTGATTCCTCATTATTTGATGTATTTCTTTATGTTAGCATATTGTAAGTCATTATGGTACTTATTGCAGAGTTTGGACAGAGGAATGCTGACCTTTGTTAATTATGTCTGACAGTCTTCTCTTATAGCACTCTCTTTAATTGAAGCATTTGTCTCCTGCAATGGCTTATATCTCTTTCTCAACCCACTCCTGAATATCCTTTTAGTTTTTAGGTTTTTTTTCTCTCCCCATGTTTGTCCCCATATTTGCTTCTAATCTTACCTCCTGCTCTTGTCTCCAGCCTCCTCAAAATGAGTTCACTTCCTTTCTAGGACACTAGTGTCTGAGGCAGTCTTTGGGAAACTACAAGACTGGTACAAACCTAGGTTAGTGAAAAAGCAGTGTAATTTATGTATAGAGTAACTTGTTAGTTGTTCTCTGGAGACAGAAGGAAAGAAGTAATTGTTCTTAGGGTATCTTCAGACTTTAAAAACTTACCAAGAACGGTATTTTCAATAAGATAAAACAGTATCCTGCCTCAGAATATTTAACTAGGAAATTATAGATTTTAATATTCTGGAGATTTCATGTTTAAACTACAATAATGAGGGAAAAGAAACTATTGACAGTATTTAGAAGAATTAAACATGATTTTTCTCTCCTAAATGCTCACTACAAAGAAAGATATTAGATTTTTGAATTAAATTACATGTGGAAGTGTTGAATACTAATGATTTATAGATAAATGCTGGTTTCCATAAAGAAACTGAAGAGGCTTGGGCACATTTCATTCCCCCAAAGGCTGACATGGTAAATGTACTTTAGATGTCTCCTTTTCTAGTGGTTCTATGAAATGAATGATCACAGCAGAAGTTTAAGCTATATTCTTGGAAGTTTGTGATTATATGTTCATTTATGCTATCTTACAAGGATAACAAATGTTAATGTAGCAAGGGAAATCATAGATTTTTTTGTTCAGGAGAAGAGTCAAAATTATCTTACATAAATGATCAACTCTCTGAAGTCTCTTGTTTGCTTAAGAATAAATATAATTATGTACAGGTAACTGAATAATTTAAAGACTTAAGTTGACTAATAATTGCTAGACAAAAATAATTGCATAGTTATGTGAATGGTAAAAAAAAGTGAATGGTAATTGTTGGGGTCATCATATCTTACTTCGTGATGTTCATTATGTGACAATAGAAAATTTATCAATTGTATGAAAATTATTAAGGAGACCTTATTTATTACAACTAAGCTAGTTGTTTTGTATTTACCCTTGAAAGACAGAATTTGATCAGTACATTTAACATAAATTCATAGTCCTGATTGGGAAACTCTTTATTCCCATTTTTAGCGAGGAAAATGAGAATAAAATGACAAGAAGCTCTTAGAAAAACCCATCTCAATTGTGTGAGGGAACAACTGTTTTTTATTATCTCATTTATTGTATGCAAAAATTTCAGATACACTTTAAAAATTAATTATAGTAGCTTTCAATAAGTTTTTACTGGAGATGGCTCAATAGAATAAGTGCTTCCCTGGCAAGCGCAAGGGCCTGAGTTCAATCCGCAGTTCCACCAAAAAAATAAAAATAAATAAATAAATAAATTTTTATTTTAAAGTGGAGATTGGACAAAAACTTTTTTTTTTGGTGGTACCAGGGATTGAACTCAGGACCTTCCGCTTGCCAGGCAGACACTTACTCCACTGAGCTATCTCCCTGGCTTTTTTTTTTTTTTAAATAAAATTTTAAAAAAAATGTCTGAATTGGAATCTTTCAAATTCTGTTAGTGACTTCTCACTTTCACCCTACCACAGTAAAGAATCAAATTGAATTGTTTTGTTTGATAGTAAATATTTAGAAGGTCAAATGATCCCAGGCTGGAATACAAATAGTGACAGTGTAATTATGTTATGAGCATGTGAAACAGCCATCCTGAAGGGAGTAGGGGATGGAATTTGCAATAATGAACTTTGTTTTTGTTTTGTGGTGCTTGGCATGGGACCCAGGATCTCTTACACACTAGGCAAGTGCTCTAGTACTGTGCTACACCAGCAGCCTGCCCTACACATATTTGGAAATGAGTAGAATTTGTAAAAGTAAAGGCAAAAGGTAAAGTTTCCCATAGGGCTATAGGTTAGCAATTCTAATCCTACTATATGCATATGGTGGAATTGAGCAATCAAATGGATGGTAGAAAACACAAAGCAGGCTTCTCGCTATTGAAGTGGAAGGTTATAGATGGCAAGGGGAAGGGGCTAAAATGTGTTACGCAGTAACTAATTAGAGTTGGAGACCACAATGAACTCATGTTTAACTTAAATACAGATGATTGCATTATAGAGAGTTATGGGTATGTGTGGTTCCAAGGTTTAATACACAAACATGTATTTTGCTCATCAGCTGAGAGGTTTTAGAATCGGTAAGCACACCTGATGTCCAGATCTTGATTTTTATTTTATTTTTTTTTATTTTAGGGATATGTCTATAGGATATTCAGGCTTTCACTACTAGATCGGACTTGTAGTGATCCGCCTATTTACAGCCTCCCAAGAGCTGGGATTATAGGTGTGCGACAACAGGCCTAGTCTCAATTGCCATCTCAGTGTGCCCCGGGGGCGGAGCCAGCACAGCTAGCCCAGGGATCAAACCCCCTGCCCCTGTGTCTGCCTGCAGGTGCTTTAATCTGCTGAGCTATTTGGCTGGCCCTGTTTGTTTGTTTTTTGAAGACAGGAGTCTTGCTGTGTATTTCAGGCTAGCATTGAACCCACTGTGTAGTCCAGGCTGGCCTCAGACTTAAGGCAGTCTTTCTGCCTCAGCCTCCTGAATGCTGAAAGTACAGTCATGTACCACCATGCCTGGCTAGATGTTGGTGTCTGATACTTTTCTTCTTTCAGTAAAAGGAATGAGAATCTCTTAGAGAAATGGCTAGGACTGGGAAAAGAATATACAAGATAAGCCTGTCAGAAAGCAAGGAGACACTCCAGCAGCAGAACCAGCCATAAGCAACAGAGGTATGTGAGATGGACAAATCCCTGAAATGGCCAAAGCCGAGTAACCAAATATGTAAGGTGTTGCTGGATGATAACCCAGTGTTTAAAATAAGTATCTGTGAGTATAAGCTGATATGAATAAATGATTCGATAAATGTGTGCAGAAGAACAGACAAATTCACAGTGCAAAAGAGTTCTAAATGAATGATGTGCATATTCTATTTACAAGGGAGGTAGAATGTAACTATACTGCTGAATTGTGAACTTGCTTCCAGAGAATACAGCATGGAAAGTGGGAAAAGAGTAATATTACATTGGAGAAATCTGACAGTGTTACCTTAGCAAGATGACTGAGGTCAACAGTGACAGAGATAAGTTATATTGATAGTGTGTATCGTTAATATGGATAGTAAGTACTTATAGTATGCTTGGCGAAAGTGGCATCTTTGTGGTCTTCTCTCAGAGGTCTTTAACTCTAGTCTCATTTTGAGAAAAACATCAGATAAACCCCAATTAAGGTACATTCACTGCAGTACCTGATCGTATACCTCAAGAACTATCAGAAAAGTGTACAAAATTGCCAGTCAAAAACATCCTAAAGAGATGTGATGATCTTGAAACAGAAAAGGGATATTCAGGAAAAACTAAGGAAATATTAATGAAATCTGCACCTTTATATTATGACAAATATACTCATTTGTGACAAGATGCTAATAGTAGAAAATAATAGATGCTAATAGAAAACTGAGTATGGAGTATATGGAACTCTTTTTTTAAAAAAAATTTTATTTCTTTGGTACAGGGTCTTGCTATACAGCTTGGACTCATAGTGATCCTCCTGTCTCAGCCTCCCTAGTGCTCGGATGACAGGAGTGTACCACCATGCCTGGTTTCAATGGCTAGCACTGTGTGTCTGGGGTTCTGGGACCAGCATGACATGAGGTATCAGAGATTGAATCAGTGTCCTTGTGCTTGCCAGGCAGGGCCTAAACCGCTGAGCTATCTCCCCGACCTGGAACTCTTATATGTTATCTAGCATCTAAAACTTTTAAAATAAAAAGTGTATTTTAGTTGGGCAAGGTGGCACATTCCTTTCTCATCTACTCTGGAAGGTAAGGAAGAAGGACCTTAAATTCAAAGCCAACAATATCAGTTTAGCCATGCCCTATCGCAAGATGAAACATTTTAAAAAGGACTGGGTCTAGGGTAGTAGCTCAGTGGTGGAGTGCCTTTGGTACAATCCCTG